TGACTGATATGACTGGTTTGACTAAATTTATTAACCGTAGCAGAATCGGTCGGTGGCACATTCAGCCAGCCAATTTATATCAGCCGAACAGAGACTCGAAAGATATGGCCACAGCCACAGGGGAACAACGTGTACAAGCGTACGGGGTTCGGAACACTCTGGAAGCCGAGATCAGAGGTCGTGTCCGCCGCTCGGGTCGTCCGGGTGGGGTGAGGGGCCGCTGCGCCTGCGCGGACAGCGCGGTAGGCGGCCCGTCCGCGTCCCATCGTCTCGGGCTTGGATTTCCCGTGCCCCCGCGAAGAATATTGTGAATTTGTGATGTGCCGAGTCGGGTCGGCACGGCACCGAGCTGGGACCTGGGATCCTCTCCCGCGGACCGCGGCGGCGAAGCGCCGGAAAGCCAGTCTCCCATCACCCGAACAGCGCCCTTCTCGTCTACGAGCGGGGAGCGTCACGTCCCGTTGCTTTCCCGGTCATCTCAGCGGGCAACAGACGCTTAAGTTTCACTGATGAACGACAGTCCGGCGAGGTTAACGCAACGTCCGCCGCTCGTCAGCGTTGCTTGACCCCGGCTCGAGAGCGTCAAAACTACACACCCGGCGTCACCAGGCCGACCGAAAAAAAAACGTCCTCAAACATGAAGCGTGAATCTACTAATCTGTCAGCAGCAACACGATGGGAAACCGAGAAAACAACACGCGACCTGCTGCCTATCGTCCTACTCCTATTCGAGGGGGGAGGGCTGCCCGCGGTAGACGCGTGGAGTGACCGCTGACCTCAGGCCGCCGCAGCCTGCCAGTCGCCTGGCTGGTTCTGGATGGCCGGATGGGCGAGAGCGCATTGGACCGGCGCAGCTTTTGTCCGCCGTGTGCGGGAGAACATTCAACTCCTACTACTCCTACTCCGTACACCGTACTCCTACACGTCACCAGTCACCACCATCACCGCGACACCGCCCGACGCCGAGGAGGGACGGAGAGGGACAGTCCCGTCTGAGTCTGACACCGACATGATATTGCCTTGCTCATCAAGCCTGTCGTACGGTGGGAGCCCACGGCGCCGTCTCATCCTATGGACTATCGCCCGTCCGTTTCGATGCCCAACGGGCTAGCCGCTAGCCTAGCCTAGCCTACATGGAACAGTGAGGCTACGCTGATGCGGATTAATTATCACACCTGACAAAAGCTGAGATGGCATAACCAGAATCCACGCCTTTTACAGGTCAGGATGCATTGGGATAGAGATGGAAACGGATCGGAGTCACGTGAAATCGGACCCGAATATTATCTTTTACTGTAGGGTTAGCGTCCGGATGGACGCGCACGTCGCCCACGCAGCCCGTGCTCGCACGTGCACCCCGATCTCGACGCTACGCCCACCACTCGCACAATCCGTCCTCACCCCCTCGCGCGTGCACCCTGCCAGTGGCGGAGCCAACGGGTACGCGAGACCGGCCAGCATAGTAGTAGTACATCTGTACATATATACGTAATACGGCCTCGTTCACTTTGCAAATTTTTTCAACCCGATGAATAGTACCACTTTTGTCTTATTTGGTAAATATTGTCCAATCGCGTACATCTCGTGATTTCCATAAACCGCCAGTAATTAGTATTTTTTTACCTACATTTAATACTCCATATGAAAAAACTTAGAATTTGGATGGCATCTAAACAAGGCTTATATATCAATACATCTGTATTTGTAATTTGTAATAAATAAAAAGAAAAGAAAAACTTACCCAGACCACGCTCACGCCAACGCGAAACACGGGCGGCCCAAGTAACGCGGCCCACACGGAGGTCCGGATGCCTACGTACACCACGACGTTTCCAGTTTTTTCTAATCTAATCCAAAAAAATCTCGATCAGAGTCGGAGGGAGGGAACACACGGAAGGCGCAACACGCCGCCTGACGCGGTGATGGCGTCGGCCGTGACGCCTGGTGCCCTTACCTGGATGCTGCATCGGAGGCTCGCTGTCTGCTGGTCTTGATTCGCTATTTCGCACGTCTGCAGTTGGTCATTCGTCTGCAGTCTGCACGACCGCACTAATCAGATAGTCACGGAGGCCTCGCCGTCTTGATTCGCATTTCGCTTAGGAGAAATTCAATCTTAACTCTTTGGTTTCTTCTGCTCTTCGTCTTCAAAGTTCTAGACAATATTGTTGATTTCTAAAAGAGGCATAAAATATATGATATGGTTTATGAGGTTCTCAAATTGGTATTACTTCTATCCAAGTGGATATTTTCTTTAAAATTAATAAAGATAATATAATCAAAACATTCATGTCCCTTCAAAAATGTCGAATCAAACAGTCGGAAAAATAGCATTGTAAGTTTCTAGTACTCTTTTAAGCCTATATTTAAATTATCAGTATGCCTTTTAAACTATTTATATTGTATTTCGTGGATGGTTTCAACTTAATCCTTTAATTTAAACCTTATCATATTACTTAGTACATGTATACCAAATCATGTTGTAAAATCTTATAATTGTTACCGAATTGCTAAAATAGATTTACCGAATTATATATGGATTTTTTTGGATGGCATAACTTGAGGTAAAATCCTAGATCCGCCACTACACCCTACCTCTATTGCTGCACCCCACTCCTTCCCCTTGACCTCATCTCTCTCTCCGTGGGTGGGACTCGGGAGCCATCCCCTAGCTCACTGACGCACCGTCCGCCGCCCCCCAGCTCGCGGCCCCATCCGTCGGCACCCGGGTTGTGCGCCCATCACTGTCTGTGCCCTCGTGAAACACTTGCAACATGAAACACTTAGATGCAACATATGTCTGACACATATGAAATATTTAAAACATACCATTGCAACATATGTGTGAAATATATGCAACGTCGAGATAAAACACTTACAACATGTGTGTGAAACATGCAACATCCAGATAAACAACTTGCAACATGTGTGAAACATATGCAATATCTACATAAAACACTTGCTGCAACATATACGTCTGAAACAAATAAAACATTTTGAACAAACGCTTGGAACATACCTCTAAAAACACTTGCAAAATATGCAACATCTCGATCTACTTTTGCAACATCCCTACGTAACAATTTGCAACATATCTCTGAAACATACATTTTCAACATAGGGGAGAGAAGGACGGGGTCGGTCGATTTCGGTCGTCACGGTGGGATCCAGCGACGAGCGAGCACCACCAACACCAACACCACCGGTCTTGGCTCCGCTGGGCGGGTGACATGCGGTACGGGAGGGAGCGAGCGGCGCGGTGCACGTCCGAAGCGAGGAGCGAGGTAAGGGTGGGGCGCGCGATGGGAGAAGGCCGCAACAACGAGCGGATTGAGGTGCGCGGCGTCTGGATGGGACGGACGCCCGTGGCCAAGCATTATCATATTTTATTCCAATACGAATACTAATATGGATATTTTCAAATACGAAACAGGTATCTCTAATTCATATTTCTATTCGATATATACTCAATTCAACTTAAAAAATAGACAATGTTTCCCAAAGAACTTCCCGTGTATATTTCCCCAAAGGTTCTCAGCAGGGTGAAATTAGGAATTTTGATTAAGGAGGGCCGGCAAACATGATAGCATCTCATACTAGTATGATAAGTATACATTAAACGTATGTGTCAACAGCTTTTTCAGTGCTTGTATACTTGTAGTTAGTATTCATAATAAAAAATCATAATATCATGATCGAAAAATGACAGTAAATTGATGATTTATTGTGTTGTGTATTAAAATATTTACTGGATATTAATAAATTTTACAGTGTTAGGGGGTGAAATATTTACTCGATATTAAAAAGTTTACTGGATACTAATGATTTACTATATTTGGGAGAAAAATATGTGGTGTATACCACATACTAAGTGAAAACATTGAAACCAATTCAAAAAAATGTATTTCGGTTATCCCAAAAAATATAAAATTTAGAACATCCATAGTGCATACAAATCAGTACTCACTTGCAAAAGTTGATATGAAAACTTGGTTTTAAAAATTCATACAAAAATAATAAATTTTAGGTGCATGTGCACTAAAAGACAAATTTCTAGGGTTTTTGTCTTTTAGTGCACATGCATCTAAATTTTATTTTTGTTTGAATTTTTCTAGTTTGAGTTCGTATCCCAACCTTTGCACATGAGTACATATTTGTATACACCATGTATATACCAAATTTCCAAAAAAAATTGGATGATCAAAATAGTTTTTTTTAATTGGTTTTCATATTTTCACCTAGTATGTGGTTTCCACCACATATTTTTCCCGGAAGAACATCACAACTACTGTCATGAAATAGATATTTCTTAAGATCTTACCAGAATTATAGATTGTGGTTTAGGCTTCTAGCATATTATATTACTGAAACAATTTGCTTGAGTTTAGGTTATTTTCTCATATAGAATTATCAACTAATTACTTTAGTTTGTCTTGGTGGTGTTTTGTTACAAGTTGGTTACTCAAGCATTTCACATAGAAGAAGAAATGTCACTAACATTTCCTGCAAGTTCATGAGCCCCTTGAAATATACATTAGCGGATGCGGCTGCTTGTTACTAATAGTTCTTTTTTTAGCAGAGTATTGCTTTTTTTAGGGGATTTTGGCAGAGTATTGCTGATAATATATCTAGGATATGTTCGCGTGAATTGGCCCAATTCGGTCGAACAAGCCCTTTTCATATTCATCTACATTTTCACTATTATAGTATTATATATAATGTATATAATCATGCTTGATTTTTGTGTTGGTGCCGAGCGTTTAACCATGGATGCTTTAGTTTTTTTTTTTAAAACACGTGCATGTGGGTTGGGGGCGCGGTATCAGTCGTGAGAAAGGAGCCAATTTTGTATCCGTGACCTGTCTCCATCTGGAATTAGTATAGCGTGCATCTTTTGCGCAGAAAGTAGCAAGGGGCCATTGTTTGTGATACAAGTCAATTGTGTCTTGCATGGAACAGTAAATCCGATCAGCATCAATAATGGTACAATCCGCACCCGTTGATCAATGGGGCTTCAGTTCCTTCAAATGTCGGGCCCTGGAAACGACAAATACAATATAGTCATACAGTTGTGTACATTGCCTCCAAACATGTGTGCTGCCATCAATAATCGAGAGTAGAAAACATAACATTATTTTGAAATAAATAGGTGACAGTTCAACTGAATCGTCTTTACCATTTACTAGAAGGATGATCTATGCCAAGGCCATTACAGGTAAGTATCATACCCTTAAATTTTGCAAGGTACTCCTGAAATACAATAGAGGACAAAGATTATAAGATGAGTGCAGAAAGGATTGTCTCAAGCGTCGACTGTCTGACTAATGAATAAGAAAATCTTACACGCAAAGTATATTGATCGATCTCATAACAACCGGAAACAACGTATTCTAGTCGCTTAGCTGGGTCACTTAAAACTGAAAAAGAAGAGAAACCAATGAGATATAATTAGTAAAGATTGTAAGAACGGTTCATAAAAGTGTACAGAGGTGGGATCATCCATTCCTTTTTTTTTTTCTGGGGAGTATGGACGATTGTAAAGAGTATTGGCGTCTAAGTAATAAAGGCTGGAAGAATACCCTTGTATGCCTCATTAATCTCCTGAAATTTAGCTGTGACATCGTTATCGCCCTTATGCTTGTCCGGATGCCACATCTAGAGGAAGCATGGGTTACAATGAGTCAATCTACATACATCTTTGCATGCTAATACATAATACTAGCATGACGAGCGGAGGCTCGACAGAATCTTACCAAAGCTAATCTTCTATAACTCAATTTGATGGTGTCATCAGATGCGTCATAGTCAACCTCCAGAACTTTGTAGTAGTCCTGCAAGCATAATTAAGTTCATGAAACAAATAAACAGATTAATTAACTGTATGATAATCTGATATGACATATTGCAATGAATATTATTCTAAATATAAATGGCATTTAGCCCAAAGCATAGGAGAATTGCAGATATCGGTAAGTAAGCCATGTTACAACATACTACGCCCGTTCCAAATTATAAGTCGCTAGGGTTGTGTGCTAAGTCAGATTTCTCTAACTAACTTTGACCAAGTTTATGGGAATATATATCGACATCTACAATATCAAATAAGTGCACTATCAAGATGTATTGCATGATGGATTGAATGAAACTAATATGGTTTGTAAATGTCAGTACATTTTTTCTCTAGACTTGGTCAAACTTAGAGAAGTTTGACTCAGGACAAAAACAAATAGACTTAAAATTCGGAATAGGGGAGTATCAAGAAATATCTCAGAAACACATAACAAAAAAGAACAACTATGTCTTAGAATGTTTTATCAAGATAAAGAGTGACTATATGACTGTACATAATGGCCTTTAATATATAAATCGAAGGTCGGGTTATATGGGATAGATCCTGAACATTTTACGTGAGAATATAAGAAAGTGTCAAGTTTTTTCATGGCTTCCGCACCATATTGACCACCAGCAAACCATCACAGAACATTTAAGATACTTAATTGCATAGTAGATAGTGTTTGCTAGAAAAAAATTCAATTTAAGTGACACTTGCCAAGAAACCTCTTAGTTTCAGTTCACTTTCTGAAAGCCACATTTCGTGACAAATTGTGGCTTGAGGTGGGCAGCCGAATTCATTTCGGAAAAGCAAACACCACCAATGAGCTTCTAATGCAAGTAGGTCAAGTTTAGGTTAAGAAGACAACTAAAGAACAATGGGCTCAGTTTTATTTGCGTCGGTGAGATAATTATTCAGTTCGAACATGAACAAAGGCGACAGTGAAGGACTGCCTCTGCTCCATCACTCCTGCTTCCTGGGGGATGCCACTTGCCCAACGCTGCCTTCACCAAGAGTCACGGTGAGCAGTGACCGTGCCTTCCTCCTCCCTGTCCCTGGTTATCTCTGGATTTCTCTTGATGATTTTAGTGTACATATTCAGATTCCGTAGTTTTTAATCAGTTTGGTTCCCTTCTCAAAGTGTACATATTCAGATTCTGTTGTTTTAAATCAGTTTGGTTCCCTTCTACTCTAAGCAATTTTGATTTAATCTAACATTTCTAAGGTTTGCCTTGCCTGCTGGCAATTTGTAATTAAAAAAAATCTGAATTTTTGCTTATCAATCAACTGAGGCATCATTGAGACTTGTGATGTTCCAGGTTCTGGCAAATACATAGACTTTTATATGAAGATAATGGAGGTCGCTAATCATATTCAATTCTGATGTCTTTTCAGCTTTTTGTTAATGTGCAATCTGAAATTGCAATGATGATTTTAAATGATTTATCAATCAACTGAGGGCATCATGCATCCAGGTTCTGGCAATCTATTAAATAGGCAGTATTTGATGCTTTTCAGCTTTTGAGTGCATTGCCACACATGGACATCCAGACCTTACAATGCACTGATATCGGGATATGCAAGTAGCTGCGTAATACTAGAAGCCGTCAACCTCTTCGCAGTGTCTATCCAAAATGATGTTATTTGCGCTAACAAGAAGTTTATGATATGGTTCAGTGGGGCAGAGTGCTCCAACCCATTGTTTTTTTGTAAGCTTCAATTTCAGAAGAACTGTTTCCACAACCCTTACTGACCTGTACTACAAATTCAAGTTAATAAAGCATTCTAGGAAATTAAGCACATCTGTATTGTTGAAAGGTCAATATTTTCCAACTGGATACTTCCTTTAATATAGTTCCAGATATTTGACATGGCTTCTCCTATGTATGAGGTTGTCAGATTCAAATGCTTCTATATTAGGACTGACAACAACCTTACATATTCCAGATGTTCAGGTTGGACATGGACTCTCAGTAGTTGCTTCTGGGTTAACCATCATCATGGGACTGAACCTTCTAAAGGTAAAGCACTGCACAAAATGAAAATTTATGAACTGTGGCATCTCATAAAAACTTTCAACCTTTGTTGATACATTGCGCACTAAGCTGTTTCCCTATAACTACTTCTAGGAACACAAATAACTTATGTTCCCTTACCTGCATTTTATTTTCTATACTTTCCAGTATTCGACCTACCCCTGTTTTGTGTAGCCAGGGAAAGAACAAAGGAGAGGCATATCGAAGAAACCTTGCAATAACAAGGATAAAGACTATGGAGAAGCAGTTCTGCTTTCTAAGAAAACGTGAACAGAAAATATCCTAGCTGTACTTTGGTAATTCTGAATTCAGGTACCTGATTCTCGATTTTAATACCAATAAAAAAGTACGAACACCCATTTTTACAGGGCTACTAGCCTTAGCATCAAGCCAACAAGTTATTAGCTTCTCTAAAATCATATATATATGTGCTGCTTCAGAGTTCATTCTTCAAAATACCAGATGGAGAATGTTCTCTCTGGAAAGATTTTACTATGACATGTGACAATGTGTGGACCCTCTTTGATTTTCAGACGATTTCATTAACACATCAATATTACGTGATTCAAAACAATGAGCACTTAGCCACTTAGGCTATCAAAGCATTCCTATGCTTGCATTATCAGAAGTGTTTAGTCATCACTCCATCAAGGACACGCCAAGTACTTGTTAACTTGCCAAACAAATACGATCTTCTATATGCTTGCGCTCGTCCATTGCAATTTTATATTCTTTGATGCATTTTGGTGGCTGATACAGCGAGGTAGTAATCTCACCGATATAAATTTTTGCTCCAACGAAGTAGTCATCTATGCGATATAAAATCTTGCTTGCTTGGAGCAGAAGTTTTTATACAGGCAAATACAACTCATTTATTCGTTATTGCTATGTCCATTCCACAGGTACAGTACTTTCTAAAATTCGCCACATTTTGATTTCAATAAATAAAAAAAAACATTAAAAAAAGGCAAACATTGGATTGAACTCTACACAACTAGCTCCATAACGCCGACACCCCACGGGAGCGCGCGTTATTTCTAGTTCAGACCTGCAAGCTAAGTGTGTTTTCATGGTGGATAATACTACGCCAGCCATTGTTTGATACTCTGATAATGAGTAATGACCAAACCAGCTCTGAATAGGAACCATTTTGCTGCATCTATTATCAGCTGAATTTTTAAGTAATTTGAAAATACTGTAAAGATGGTTGAACTGAAAGCCAAAGCGCACGACGGCCACAAACTGGAATGCTACCTACAATTCAGCAGGCTAAATAAGTCACCTGCCCGGTCAAGCAAGACTAATTTTAGCCACTTCTAAAGCAACCATACAGCCCTGTGCACTCCACTAGAGAGACCGCAACAAAGCAATGCTACAGTAGAGATTGTGCCAATCATGCGCACGCTAAAAGCAGCTCGAAAATAAATCAAATAAAAAATGGCACGGACTCTATCCGCCTTTTGAGTCCATAGTACTACACCACAATTAACCACTCCCCTCCAGCACCTCAACAACACAAGGTTCAGCCCAAAATTTCCGAATCCGGTGTTGCCCTCATGGTCGAACTGACGCTAAAAAGTCCACGAGTCGAAGCTAAAAGGATTATAAAACCAGATCTCGGGAAACAGCCGGAGATTGAAGAGGAATCGCGTGTTGGTGTTTACCTTGCGGAGAGGCTCCTTGCTTGCTCCGTCCATAAACCGTAACAATTCATCACCCCGGGTTCTCTTCGCGCCGCCGGGTTCCCCTGTTCCTCTTCTCGTGCGTTGGGATTCTCGGGGCCGCCTCGTTTCCGAGGGGAAGTGGAGTCGATCGATCGATGGATAGGTGGGATCGAGGAGTTCTTGACAACTTCCCCACCTTTTCTGTTTTCCTTTGTTTATAATTTTATTTTATTTATTTTCCGTGATGGATATGGGATAACAGGATAGGTGATGACGTGGAGCCGAGCCAGACATTTATTTTTGTGTCCCGGACGGCTCTGCCCATGAGGCCGCAGAGGGCTTGATTAATGGGCCGGCCTAGTTGTGTTGAGAAGTTTACCCTTTTTCTGCTTTGTTTTGTTAAAAAAAGAGTATCTTCAAAAGGTTCTTAAAACAAAAAGAAAGAAAAAGATCTCCGATGGTTTCAATAACAATTTCTTAAAGATAACCACTTAGTAAATATCCACTCATGAAAGATGACCACTTGGTAAATACCCCAAGCAAGCCCATTATAAATTGGATTTGGGTCGAATTTTTGGTCATGAACAGAATTTCCAGGACTCGATGATGCAACCCACCACAAGTTATTTGAATTGTTAGGTTTATCCTATTTGCCCCTCTAGACATTGTTGGTCTTTTCAATAGGTCTTGCTCTCTTAGTTACAAATTATAAGGGCACGTATAGTCATGGGCGGATACAGAGGGTATTCCCCGTATTCCTAGGAATACCCAACTATTTTAGCACACTTCTATGTATATATGTGTATATACTTGTATATGTATATGTATATGTATATGTATATGTATATGTATATGTATATGTATAATGCCATATTTTGTAGTATTTTTATTCATTGAAGCTCAAAACAGTAAAAAAAACAGCCTCTCAAATTGGTTCATATTTTGTAGTATTTTCACTCATTGCAATTAAAAACAACTGATTTTTTTATTGACGTGGAAGTAGGAATACCCAAGTTTGAATCCTGAATTACGTTAGGTTTTAGTGTTTACTCTTATAGGAACGCCTAAGGCCCCGCTAGACATTGAATGACCTTTTCAAATTCTGACCTTGCTCTTTTAATTTATATAAAATTATAAGGGCACGTATAGTGTAGGGACTCTTATAGGAACGCCTAAAGGAGAAAAACGAACAGCGTCTCTTTTAATTGCTTAATCTACAATGCAAAACCATGTTGCAGGCCCTTCGTGTATGAAAGTTAAGTAGTTAACTGAAAGCATGTCACGTGAATACGTTGGAGTCGGGCAAAGCGCCGCTGCTTCGCGGAGCGGCGACGCCATCTGCAAGCGCCCGAACTTGGCCAAGTTGTGCTCCACGGTGGCAAGAAAACGATCCAACGACCTATAAGCGTCCAGCGTTGTACGTGGCCTAAGTTGCTTTGATTATTCTGTTATCAAAATTGTTATGTGTGTGTCTATATATATATATATATATTACGTGAAGGATGCATTTTTGTTACTCTCGGAGATAGTTACTCTTATCTTTAATAAACCACACATTATGTGTGTGTGCATACTAATTTATCAATTTAAATATGTTTAAGATACTTCAAATCTTAGTACATGATTTTTTTTCAAAAGAGCCCATACTTTTTAATATATTACAAAAATACTACTGCAGTGCTATATAAAATAAGTATAGCCATATACTATATGTATACTTACGTACTTGACATACATACTATCCTAGATGGTTTAGTATGATCATATACTCCGTCTAAATACACTTCATCGGGTCATATACTTCATAAATCTAGAGATATACGTATGAGAGTAACTATTCCATAAGAGTAGGAAATAATTTTCCTTACGTGTGTATTTATTTTGAAACAAGCGATAATAAAAACGAA